AGGGGGTTTGGGTTCGTTTAGAAGACGGCACCGAAGAAAATATTGACTTAGGCCTTGTGCAGCTGCTGTCTTATAAGGACGAAACAGCAGCAGCTCAAGGGAGGCGCAGCAAACCTAAAGACAGAGACAGAGACAGAGACAGAGACAGAGATAAAGACAGAGACAGAGACAGAGACAGAGACAGGAAGAGAAGGTACGCATTTATATATCTTATTACACTCCTCCAGATGATGGTTCTGCTGCTGCTGCTGCAGCAAATCAGTTTACATACAATCCCCGCTGCTGTTGCTGCTGCTGCTGCTGCTGTTGCTGCTGCAGTCGCAGCCGCAGCCCCGAACGAAGTGCAGCAAAGACGCAGCAGCAGCTGCTGCAGGAGTTCCGCCGCAAGGAGCAGGAGAAGGCCTTAGCTACAGGGAAGGTAAGATAGGAGACAACTAACTGTCTCCTCAAGAAGAGACAGCTAACTGTCTCCTCAAGAAGAGACAGCTAATAATATATAATCTATAATATATAGAATATATAGTATATAGAATATATATATTGTACGTATATACATACAGATATATTTACTTATTTATTTATTTATTTATTTGTAGGCCCCTCCTCCTTTTTGTCTCCTTTCTGCTTTATCTCTGTCTCTCTAAACACCAGTCGCGCAGCGCATTGTATCAGGGTTTAGGGTTTAGGGTTTAGGGTTTAGGGTTTGGGGTTTTGCGTGTAGGATTATGCGCGGCGGCCGACTTCTTATAAGAGCGCTTTGTCTTTGAAGATGACTTCTTCTCGCCACGTGTAAGGGTTTAGGGTTTAGGGTTTTAGGGTTTTAGGGTTTTAGGGTTTTAGGGTTTAGGGTTTAGGGTGTCTTAGGGTTTAGGGTTTAGGGTGTCTCCTTCATTGTTTATTTGTCTCTTTGTCTCTTTCTTTGTTCGTTTTTTTATGTCTCTTCTTTGTTTATATACTGTTTCCTTTCTTTTTAATAATAAACTGTCTCCTTTCTTTTTAATAATAAACTGTCTCCTTTCTTCTTAATAATAGACTGTACTGTCTCCTTTCTTTTTAATAAACTGTCTCCTTTCTCTTTAATAATAAGCTGTCTCCTTTCTTTTTAATAATGAACTGTCTCCTTTCTTCTTTAATTTGTCTCCTTTCTTTTGTAGGCCTTCTCCTGAGAGGCCTCCGCCTACGCGAACCCACCCGAGGTCTGCTCTGTCGCATGCACAGCAGCAGCAGCAGCAGCAGCAGCAACAGCAACAGCAACAGCAGCAACAGCAGCAGCAGCAGAGCCAGCAGCAGAAGCAACGCATGTCGTCTCTCGTTGCGCGGTAGGCCTTGTCTGTCTCTTTTTTCTGTCTCTTCTCCTCTTTATTCAGTAAACAAAGATATTAATAATATTATATTATAATAATTATTATCATAATAATTATCTTCTTACGACAAATGTATATGTTTTATATTTAATGTAATATATCAGTAAAAATAATATTTTATATATAATAGTATTGTCATATTCTTTTTTATATTTGCTGCTGCTCGGAGTGTATATATATATATTATATAATTAATTATATAAATATATTAATAATAATTAATTTTATTAACATGAGTAATAATAATAATATTAATAAAGGTCAGGGCGAGCTTTCGCTTGTCTCTTTTATTATTATTTATATTTAGACAAGTAGTAATTGCTGCTGCTGCTGTTGCTGCTGTTGCTGTTGCTGTTGTTGCTGCTGCTTTTCGTGTTGTTGCTTCTGCTTCTGCTGCTGTTGCTGCTGCTTCTGCTGCTGTTGCTGCTGCTAATGTTTCTGTTGCTGCAATGCTGCTTCTGCCAACGCTGTTATTAATGCTACTACTACTACTGCTGCTGCTGCTGCTGCTGCTGCTGCTGCTGCTGCTGCAGATACAGCCGAGCTGGAGGCGAATCAACAGACCGACGGCGACGCAACGACACGGAGGCCCCCGAAGTTATGCGTCTTGGCTGACATCTCTTTACTGTCTCCTTTTACTTACTGTCTCCTTTTCTTACTGTCTCCTTTTCTTACTGTCTCCTTTTGTTGCTGTCTCCTTTTATTACTGTCTCCTCTCTGCTAATCTTTTTGTGTTTGTCTCTTTTTGTCTCTATCTTCTTCTGTGTCTGTCTCCTTTTCTTTAGTGTTGCACTGGCTTCTGTCTCTTCTGCCGTTTTGCTGCTGCTGCTGCTGCTAATGCAGCAAGCTGCAGCAGCAGCAAGCAGCTTATTTATACGCTTCTAAGGCCAAGGGAAACCCTAAAGACAAGTTAACAGTTGCTGCTGCTGCTGCTGCTGCTGCAGCAACAAAGACAGCAGCAGCAAGGCCTGCTGTGGAGACACCTCAACGGGCGCCATATTCAAAAAAAAGTCGAAACTTACCTGCTGCTGCTGCCGCAGCAGCAGCAGCAACAGCAGCAGCAGCAGCAACAGCAGCGGCAGCAGCTGCTGCTGCACGCACACTATTCTTGCTGCCGCTGCAAGGCGAACTCCTAA